GGGGGGGAGGAGGTGCCACTCGCCGAGGGTTGCGCGGCCGCGGAGCCCTCGGTAAGCGGCGCCTCCTCCTGCACTGTTCCCCACCCCTCACCCCCACGCCGCTGATCCTGCCCACGAGTGTTCACGAGTGGGGAGTGCAGCCCCGCCCCCGCCTCGCGCCTCGGGGTTTGAAGTGGGAGGTGGTGCTGTCTCTGACCGAATTTAGGGAAGGATGCGGCGCCTGGTGCAGCAAGCGTTTATTGGGGCATGTTCATTTAGCTCGTCAGTGCTCTGAGTTCTTAATAAATCTTAAAAGTGCTTCTGTCTTATTAAATCCCTGAAGTGCTTATAGCTCAGTACATCTTTATACTGCATATATTGGTGTGAAGCTTTTAAAGTCCACACATTCAAGCTATATGCTTCTGCACATCTATGGCCTGCTAACTTAAAACATCAGGAATAGAGTCTTACCCCTTTTCCTATAGGTTATTTTGCTTCTGAAATATCTACCTTAGATACAGGTATCACAAGGTTTTTTTTCCCCCCCCCCCCCTCTGGTTATAGATACGCATATCAAACCACGTTTTTTTCCCCTGTGGTTATGGCCAGCTGAAAAGTGAGCTTAGACTCAAAATAATTTTGTGACTAAGATTGCTGTAGCATTTGGGGAAAGCACGTTTGGTAAAGCACATTCTGACATACATAAAATAGTGCCAGACAGTGCAGCCTTCCCTGGTGATTTAGTAAAGACCTACAAATGCTACCAAAACCCATCTCCATGTTAAGCTAATAAATTCCTAATGTGAGGCATTAACCTGTTGCATTAACATTTTGGGGTTTTACATATTGAAACATTGCCATCATCCCCTCCCAATCTTAGTATTTTCCAAGTAAACAATGAAATAACGTGTTTGTGTCTCAGCTAAGAACCAAATTAGGACTGAACTAATGAAACATTGGTAAAGGCCTTACTATATGACATGAATTATGATATACACAAGCTTTGGAGTTGAAGTATGCAAAATGTTTTGGATATCACCTTTTCCTGTACACATGGCTATTCTAAATGGACAAGAGCATTTCTATGTAATCTGGCCTTCTTTACTGAACATGAATATTTCTTAAAGGGAAATTCAATGTTGAAAGTTGTGCAGCCTAAAATAAAAATGAATAAAAACTAAAGGCCTCTGACAGATTAGTGATTTTAAAAGGACGTCTACATAATGTCAACAAGATAGTCTTTTTTTCCTGCTACAGATACATAATCAGACAACACAAAGTGCAAAAACAACCACCTTTGCTAATAACTGCCAGATCTGTCAAATAAGAGAAAAACAGACCAGAGCATTTTCTCCTCTAAATTTTTTATGTTACTTGTCTTACATAGTGTTGAGCAGGTCAGATAGCAGTATTTATAAAGTATATTATTCCAGAGTAGCTTAATTTAAGGCAGCGAGTACAGTCTGCTCGTTTGATCATCTGCAGACCTGTGCTGCAATCCATTTGCAGGTTGACGGTGCTGTCAGAGGACTGGACTTCTTACTAGGAACAAACACATTTCATTTCACCTGAACTATTCACAGAAATTGACTGGTAGCTGATCTAATCAAAAAGCTCTCAGGAATTTTGTATCTAGACCCATAGCTCTCACTAATTACAATCAATCATCTAACAGCTCAGTCCAGCTTTGGAGGCCAGTTCAAGTTTTGTCACAGTAATATCTCACTGCATCACATTTTATGTTTATTTGAATCACAGTACATTTAAGGTCATCACTGATTTATTTTTTTTTCTTTTTGTGATATTAATATAGTTCATTTATGCAAAACCAGCTGCCCACTTGGCAGCATGTGCATCTCCTTCAGTACGAATGCAGAGCATGGGTGATTGGGTGATTCTACCTTCTCAGTTTCCTGGCACCGTGGGTCGTCTGGCCACTGTGTTGTAAAAACACGTGTTTGTACACTTAGGTCTCAATTATGCCCAAGCTGAGGTCAAAAGGAAAATTATACTGGTTGCAGGATCAGGTCCTTATTCTAACACACTGTTTGTGATACAATATTAGGCCTCAAGATACCATGAAGAACGAATGCTTAGAGTTTTGGTGTGTGATCTGATGTAGTATCATTGGCCTGAAACTTTGGCATAAAAATTAATGCCACTGAATTGATGAACTCTGAGCTTCAGAGTTTGGCTGACAGAAGTACTGGTAATTTTTATTTTGCCAGAAACAAGAAAGGCATGGCAACTGGTGGGTTGACAAAAAAATGCTTTCTCTATCTTTTGGTATGGTTGTCAAATAGACACGATACCTAAGAAAAGACAGCATAAAATGGAGGAGAAGAAAAACCATAAAATGGAGGGGAGGACAAAGCTCTGAACTGTAGAATTGCAAAGGTAGAGACCAAGGCTATAAAAAAGGATAGTCACCCCAAAAAAGTAAGAACTGTGCACATATGGCATGATTGCACATTACAGAAATTTATTCTTCATCAACCCCTTATCATTTATAGCATACTGAAATTTATAAATTAAAATCTAGCTTTAAAGGCAAAACAACTGCTAAACATTAACTGTAAGATTATGTAGTACGTGTAAGTTTAACTAGTTTTCGTCACAAAATTTAAATTTTGAATTCCCCTATCCAACCTTTCAGTCTGACTTTCTTCTTTCTCTTTTTCCCTCCAAAAAAGAACATGAGATGTATTCAGACTGTCAGATTGCTATCAGATTTTACTACTTCTGCATAGTGTACACACATTTTAAAACCCTGTTCAATACAATTTCCAAGAGCATTCTAAACAGCATATTGAATAAAGAAATTATGAAGGAAATGCATTAATACTTGAATATTAATTAATCAGGGAAACAGACTACCTCAATCCAGGCAGATTAGTATTTTTTACAGTTTGTGATTTGTTAGTCAAAAGAAAATAATGCAACTGTTCAAAATGAAGGGAAATCACTCAGCATGTCCAGAGGACTAATTAATAAAATTTAAGACTTAGCATAAGTATTTCAGAAAAGTCTCAGATTAGTGTTTTTCCCTCTGTGTATTGCTCTTCACAGAGTTAAAAGGCAGTAATTTAAGATTATACTCTCTTGTCAATTTTCTGCAAAATTATTACTGACTTCCAAAAGTTTCATCCACGCATTAATGTAATGGCTCTAGAACTTTTTTTTAAAGTCAGTATCAGGTCTTCTTCATTATAAAATATATTTTAAGGAATAAAATGTCTGAAACAGATAAGAATAGTAAAGAATAAGTAAGTATTTTCTGCAAAATTTATTTCTTGGTGCATTCATATCTGAAGAAAAAACGTGATACTCATGTATCAGTCACTGACATGATCATAGCATCAAAGAAAAGGAGTCTGCATATACTGAAATGCCCAGGAAATTTTCTCTCATGTCACAGGCACAAAACTGCAATACAGTAAATAAAATACTGCCTTGAACCAAGCCATTATGTGGCTTATTTACTTGGTATAATTGCTATAGACAGTCCTCGTAACTGGTGAGAGTGCAGTACTTGCCACATATTTTTAAAAAATATTTTATACTTCCAGAATTTTTTGGTATGTATTAATTTCATTAAATGCATTGTTTGCCTACAGACAAGGACCACTCAACAAAACATACTTTTTTCGTTCACAAATAGTTCTGAATAACAGTTAAGGAAATCAGCTTTTTAATTAAATACGTGAAAGCACAATTTATTTCAGTAAGCTAAAACCTATAGTAGCTGAATGCATTTTTGATCAGGTATTTAGTGTTCTTTTATTCTAAGTTTAACCTGAAAAACGTTATTGCTACTAGGAGTATTTTTTTAATTAAGTGACATTAATTTATTCAAAAAGAAGAAGGATTTATCTGTTTACTTTTTGATTAGCTTTATTCTGCCTTGGTTTAGCTTCTATTTGTCAAAACTTAAAATCTTCTGATTTTCCCCTCATATATGAAGAGCCACACATTTTTAGGCTGTAAGAAATATTGAAAACAAAACCACAACCTTAGAGCTTTCACATTTAGATTATACACTTCTAAGCTATTAATATTTCAGTCCTTATTTAAGTGCTCAGGAACAGAGGCAAACAGAGAAGTACCACTTGTTTAAAACATCATCGCTCCTCTAACAATTCAGGAAAATATTACATATTATAAACGTTGAATTTTTCCCTTATTTTACTAAAACATATATCAGACTAAAACTCAAAAAAAATGTATTTGCATTTATATTTTATTATTTCTTGTCAAATAAAAAGGAATCACAGGGGGAACTTGTACACTTTATGTCTAAGATCACACAGAAGGCTCAGTAATAAAACGATATAAGGATTTAGGCATGTGAGCAAGCATTACTGTGATGTACATCCTGCAGGATAGCAGCTCTCTTTTTGTGTGTTTTATCATAATTTAAAGTCCATCTAAATAAGTGAAAGTCTGGTATTTACTGAATTTTCAGTCATTCTCTTTCTTTCACAGAGAAATAAAGCTATGAAGTTCATAACGTGTTTGCTCTTTCTTAAGATAAAACTCTAATGTCTTTGACTAAATTAGTGGAGATTTATAAATGAGGCCTACACAAAAGATGATGCCTTTAATGTTGGATGGAGAAATACAAAGATTCCTGCTGCTTTATTGGAACTACGACTGTAATTCCATGTCTAGTCCTGTGTAACAGATGAACATAGTTTGTCATACTCACAAAAATGCTAGGAAATGCTTTTTAGTGATTATATTGGTATTCTCTCTTTGTAAGCAACATTTACTGGTAGTAG